ACTTGATGAAGATCCTCACTGAGCGTGGTTACTCATTCACGACCACGGCTGAGCGTGAAATTGTCCGAGACATCAAGGTAAAACTTACGGTACAGTCTTCGTGCATTTTTACAATCTATGGTAATGGTTTTGATTTTCAGGAAAAGCTGTGCTATGTTGCCCTTGACTTTGAACAAGAAATGGCTACCGCTGCTTCCTCATCTTCTCTGGAAAAGTCTTATGAGCTTCCTGATGGACAAGTGATCACAGTTGGAAACGAGCGATTCCGTTGTCCGGAGGCACTGTTTCAGGTGAATTGTTTACAATTTGAGTGTTGTCTTTGTCCTGCACTTTTTCTTTTCAGCCTTCGTTCTTGGGTATGGAATCGGCTGGTATACATGAGACTTCGTATAACTCCATCATGAAGTGTGATATTGACATCCGAAAAGATCTTTATGCAAACACAGTGCTTTCTGGAGGAACAACAATGTATCCTGGTATTGCTGATCGCATGCAGAAAGAAATCACAGCTCTTGCCCCTAGGTTTGTGTCTGATGTGGTTTTAACTAGCTTATCTCCCCGATTTAAATGATTGATTGCAGCACGATGAAGATCAAGATTATTGCTCCCCCAGAGCGCAAATATTCTGTCTGGATTGGAGGATCCATTTTGGCTTCCCTATCTACCTTCCAACAGATGTGGATCTCCAAGCAAGAATACGACGAATCCGGTCCATCCATTGTCCACCGCAAATGCTTCTAAGCGTCATCCATTGCAGTCAGCGAACCGCCAAGTTGTTTCCTGCCACCTTTCTTGTTTTTGTGCATATTGTCCTTTTCATCGTTATCATTTTGAGTTAATAAACTTTCGCACTTGTTATCTTAACCTTGTGAAATCGAAAGCCCTGGGAAAATCTCTCCAAAATATTAAGGATTAAGCAGAATGCTGATCGTGACTTGGCGTACAAACGTACAAATTCGAAATCCCAACATCCGTCATCTGTTTGAAGAAAAGAGGTGGAACAAGGTCGAATTTTATATCTATTTTTCTGCTTAATATATGTTTGCTAATATTATGTAAACTTTACAAAAGATAGCAGAACCACTTTGATCGTGGCGCTTGTGGCTCGTAAAAAACTGATGCTATCCAGTTAACGCTTGCGAGAGCAAAATAGTTGCTTATTAAGCAGTCGGTATCAGTATGTTTTATTGTCCAAGGTCGTTTGGGAAGACTTCAATATGCCTCTAGTTATAAATTAGAACGAAAAGAGGAATCTCGTTACTTTGTGATGGGAACTCGAGACTCTAATTTTTTGAGAAGTATACAAATTACTTCGAGTCGGCACTTTGGATCTTTAATTTTAAATGAAAAAACTTTCAGAAGCGGACTGTTTTGATTACGTCAGCATAAAGATGTGATGCAGCCTAGAGTGACGTATGATTCATTCTGCGCTGTTGAATGCTTAGCGCTACATCGTTTGGACAGTGGTTTCTTCATATTGTTAGCAAAACAGTATCATTCAGATTTAGTTTGGCGTTGAGTTTTGAAACATTGCCACATTTTGTTCTGTGATGTGCGTCATGATGCTATTTTACCTGTTATTTAACTAAATTTGGTGTCTTGACGATCACCTTTGATTCTAGATCATTTAGTATCGTAACTTTCGATCTCGAGTTATTACATGTTCAGACTTTCAACAATTCTTCTATAGGTGTTTAAGGTGTAGATACCCTTTA